TAATTAATTTTTATTTACCCAATCCAATTGATTTGGCCAAGCCAATCTAAATTACTCAATTCAATTCCTTTTTCTAATCTTCCCTAAACCTAATTCAACAAACCTAATTTAACAAGTCAATTGCCATAAGTGTAGCAATATGTGTTTGTTAGAATTAGACATTATTTAATTGTATATATAATGCATTTATTTGTTTGAATTATTTTAAATTTTTATATTTTTTATTTATTAAAAAAATAAAATTTAAATATTTAATATTTGACGAGAAATCTACATACCTTTTGTGCTATTCCTTGTGAGTATGTAAATGAAATGAAGGGCATTTTTTTTGTCCCCACCAAAAATTTTTGTTAAAATCCTCATATCTGCCATTGGTAGGGATGGGGAGGGGTCTTGCCCCGTAGGCACTCGTTCCCATCCCTAATAGATGGTCTTTTTTTTTTCTTTTGTTTTTACTTGGTAAAAACCTACTTTTGTTCTTTATCTTATTAGATTTGTAGGTTTTAGCCATTTATCTTATACTATGACACTTTTAGTCCCTCATCTATTAGAATTGAAGAAAATAACACTTATTTTATAATATTTCATTAATTTTGTTAACTAATTATTAACTCTATTAGTTGACTATTAATTCTATTAGTTGAAAGTATGTTTTTACCACTTAACAATCAGCGAACAATTAACTAATAGAGTTAACAATCAATTAACAGAATATCATCTATTAGAATTGAAGAAAATAACACTTATTTTATAATATTTCATTAATTTTGTTAACTGATTATTAACTCTATTAGTTGACTGTTAATTCTATTAGTTGAAAGTATGTTTTTACTACTTAACAATCAGCGAACAAGTAACTAATAGAGTTAACAGTCAATTAACAGAATAGTTTTGTTAACTGATTGTTAACTTTGTTAGCTGATTGTTAACTCTATTAACTGAAAGTAGGTTTTTGTCAGCTAATAATCATTTAATAGTCAGATAATAAAATTAACAGTCAACTAACAAAACTAATAAAATGTTATAAGTGAGGGTTATTTTATTTAATTCTAATAGATGAAGAGCTAAAAGTGTTATAATATAAAGTGAAGAGTTAAAACTTACAAATTTAATAAGATAAAAAGTTAAAAAGTAGATTTTTACCCTTTTTACTTTATAGGAATGTACCATTTTAGAACGCAAGGCCCTTCCAAATGCTTCATTTTGGCTCCTTGTCGTTGCCTTTGGCTTGTTGTTTTTGGAATTCTTCAATCAAGGTTAGTGAAGCTATGGGCGCGTTTGTTGGGGGAAGTTTTGTCTTTTCACGTTTTAATATTAAAACAAATTATGAATTTTTAAAGATATAAATTAAAAATGTAATT